GCCCTGTGCATGCTGCCACAGTGTCTGTGAGTTCACATGTGTGTTGGTTCTGTTGTATCTAGAAGACACGATTTCCTAGGTGCCATCCATCTGCTTTGGTTATTACCGTCTTTCTGCCTCCTCTTTCACATAGATCCCTGAGTGGAGAGGTTTGATGAAGCCATTTAGGACTGAGTGTTTCAAATTTCCTCATTCTTTGCACGTTGACCAGTCGTGGTTCTCTGTGTTAATTCCCATCTACTTCTCTGATAGGGATTCTCACCTAGGAACTTTTCTTCTGCTCTAGTTTTTTTTTTTTTTTTGTAGCCCAGGCTCAAACTCACAGAGATCTGCTTGCCTCTGCCTCCAGAGTGCTGGGGTTAAGGGTGTGTGCCACCATATCCAGAGGGAAATTAAAAGTTTTGACTACAAATTAAAAAAAAACCTATAATTAAAATATAATTACAATCTCCAGACCAGGCGTGCGCGCACCTCTGTGTGTGTGTGTGTGTGTGTGTGTGTGTGTGTGGTGTTTGTGAATTGAATTACGGTTGCTTGAATGAGTACAGATGGAAGATAAACACTAAACCATGAACAACTTACCAGTGGCTACATTACTGAAGAAAACACATCCCACCCCTATTCAGTGCTGTCCCCCTTGTCCCAGAGTTGTGAATTAAAGTAGAAACTCCCCAAATCACCAACATTGCAGTGTCCAGGTGGGTGGAGCCAGGCCAACTGTGTCAAACTCACATTGCAGCTTGTTCCTCACATAATGGTATTGAAATGTGTCAGGACCTTTAAGAGTTTAAGCCTGATGGGGGGTGATTGGGTCATGACTGCTGTCTGAAAGGATTGAAGCTAAGCTGATCTCTAGGAGACCGGTAGATTTCTCAAGAGAGGATTTGTTCTTGCCAGAGCTGGTTATAAAAGAGAGGAGCTGTCCCTCACCCCCACTGTCTATTGACCTCCCTTGCTGTGTGTTTTGTTGCAGCTGTATGCTCCTGCTTTTTCATATCTACCATGCTCCTACACAGGACACCACCACTTGGGTGCCACGGTGTGCGTGCGTGTGCGCGCGCGCACACACACTCACATTCACGCATGTACGTACACACACACTGATAAGTAATGACATTTAGGAGTCTTTTTAAATATCTTTCAGCATGATACATTTGCTACTTCTTAGATTTATTATTATTAGGTTTTTTTTTTTTTTTTTTTTTTTTATTTTGAGACAGGGTTTCTCTGTGTAACAACCCTGGTAGTCCTGGAAGTAGCTCTGTAGACCAGACTGACCTTGAACTCACAGAGATCCTCCTGCCCCTGCCTCCCAAGCACTGGGACTAAAGGTGTGTGCCACCATCACTCAACCTCTTAGATTCTTTTTAACTCAACACTTTTATTCACCTCCATCTGTGAGTGAAGAGAGAGATACCACAGCAATTTGGCGATATCACCATCAAGATGAGTGAATGCCCAGAGTCAGATTATATTTTATTCACTTCTTATCTCATTTTGTAGCACTCAGAGGTCTGATTTTGTTCAAGATAATCAGGGGACTAAAAAACAAAAAAACATGTTATTTTATTGACTGTAGTCTTAGTACAGGAGTTTGGGGTTATAGTGAGCTTTGTCTTTGGGGCTGTTGGCCATCAGTGATCTCCAGATTTAGGAAGAGACCCTGTCTCAAAAATAAGGCAGTGGTGAGGACTGAGGAAGACTTTAATATACATACACATGTACATTTATTTTTACACACATGTGCACAAGCATGAACATGTACACACACACACAGATACACACACACACACAGACAAAGAATGATGAAAAAGAAAATGAGTTGGTAACTGAGGGACCCCAGGGTGAGTTTCCCACGATGGCATTTCAGCTTTCTGATGATATATTGAGCAAATGCTTTAACAGCCCCACTTGTGTAACTCACACAGTCAACAGCCCTTCATTTCCAGGCTACTTGTTGAGTTTAAAATCAAATAAAGTCTGGACTATTCTCAAGGTCAAAGGACTAAGGCTTATGACTCGTGGTAACCCCTAGCATGGTGCTGGACACACTGCACCAATTAAAGAGCCCCAGTCCACAGGTTTATTATGCGAAGATGAGCAAGACAAAGTAGTGTCTAAGTGCTGCCAAACCACACTTGGAGAAAACCCATAAATAATAAAATTCTTCAGCTCCAATCCATCTTCATTGACGCAATACCCAACTAAAAAACACCCACTCCTTTCCAGTTTCTTCAATCCTATCATGAAAGGTAATAAAAACCAGCCAGGAGCCTGAGGGAGAGACTGGGATCACCAAGCTTACAGGATACTGTGACGTCTCTTAGCAAAGAGTTCTGTTTCCCCTGAAAAATTCTCTTGAAGTTGAAACAAAGTTGCTTTGACAGCATTAATCAACACCAGGGGGCAGGAGAGAGAGCAGACTTAATAGATTTCAGAAGGACATGGGAGCAAACCAGCTAAGTACATAAAAAGCCTTCCAGCCTGGTTTTGGCACCCAGCATGGAGGCTGTTCACATTACTTGGATCTGAAAGTTTGAAAATCTTTTCAAATTTATTTCTGAGTTACAAAAGTCTTCTGTGTTCATTGAAAAAAAAAATCCAAAAGCTACAGAGAAGCAAAACAAAAGCATTTTACTACTCATATCTTCACGGTTCCCAAATAAGCACTCATGTTTTGGTAGAGCCTATAATGTTCTAGTTCCTATCCATGCGTATTATTCCCTCCTAACTATTATTCCCTCCAAAGCTTTAGCTGGTAATGTTCACCTGCCTGAGATTTTAGTTTTGGCTCTGACCTAACCAGCCCTTGGCAAGCAGTTTGGCTTCTCAGGACTTAGATTTCTCAGCTGTGAAATATGAAGAGCTTGATGCCAACAACACACAAGGCCCTCCTATCTCTGTCCTTCTAACTGACCAGTGACCAAAGGAAGACAGAACAGGTCAGGCCGTAGTTGTCAATCTTGCATCATGCAGTTTTATACTTGCAAGGGCCTGGGCAGGGTTGTTGATCTCCTAATGGGTTTCCTTTCTCTAAGGTGGTATTTGTGACGGGCAACACCACCCAGGGTTCAGTAAATATTAAACAGATACCACAATGCACATGATAAGACTCAATGAGCAGTGGTCATGATCACCGTTTCCCTAGGCACTAACTCTGCTGAGGGGGAGAGCAGAAACAAGCAGGGACCAATCAAGTACTCACTTGAGATCTAATATGGGTTGAACACATGAACTGGGTACGGGGCTGAGATGCACAAGTTCATTTATTCCTTAGAACAAATTTATTATTTCCATGCTGCACATCAAGAAACTGAAGCTAGAACCTGCCTGGATTCAGGTGAGGACCAAACCCTAATCCTTGTCTTTCAAATGGTTTGGGGCCTACTTGAGAGGGCAACGACATGTATCATTAAGTACATACTTGATTTCAAAAACAGAGCCAAAAGGCTAGCAAGATGGCCCAGTGTTTAAGAGCACTTGCTGCTCTTGGGGAGGACCAGGATTTGGTTCCCAGAACCCAACGGTGGCTTACAACCACCAGTAACTTCAGTGCCAGGGAACCCAATGTCCTCTTCTGACCTCTGAAGGCCCTGTGTGCATGTGGTATGCATAATATGTACAGGAAAAGCACACATCTGTGTACTATAAAAGTAAATCTTTAAAAAAGCTCAGTCACTAATTTCCTCTGTAATGTCAAGTTTGAGTTTCTTAAAAATGAAAAGATTTACTTTTGTGTGTCTCTGTGTTTGAGTGTCCACATGTGCAGGTCCAGCAGAAGCCTGAAGAGGGCGCACATCCCTTGGAGCTGGAATGATAGGGGGATGTGAGCTGCCTCGTCTGGGTGCTGGAACCCACCTCCGGCTCTCTGAAAGGGCAGCTCTCAGAATTGAGAGCTGAGCAGTCTCCACCCCAGGAGCATGCGTTTTTTTCTTCTTCACTCTAACTTCATTGTAACAATTCTTGTGTTTGACAGGTAAATGACACAGAAAAATTGTGCACATTCTAATTGGCTGCTGGATAACCAAGCAAAGCTAGGTCATGGGGCTTTATGAAAATAATTTGTATATATGCATACAGCAACACTTATAAAAAGGAGGCCATGAATTTGAAAGAGAACAAGGAGGGAAATGTAGGAGTGTTTGGAGGGAGGAAAGGGAAGGGGGAGATGATGTGATTAAAATCTCAGAAAAACAAAAGAAGAAAATTTCTACTTGACTAACAGAGTTAGTTTTACAGTTTTTAATTGTACAATTGATTTGGTCCCTCAAGGTCCAAAATAAAATAAGGAAGCCTCGGTGAAAGCAGCTGGCTTGGGAGGGCTGTGATACAGTGTGACTTTTACCTCACTGCCTAAGGATGTCAGAACCCCGGCCAGGGGTTAGGGCTGCCTGCTGCATCTGAAGGCAATAAGCAAGGAGAGTAACTTCATGTTGGCCTGTAGCTTTCTCTTCCAATTAATCAGCATACAAAGTGTCTGCTTGTTTGTTTAGAGGTTGAGTCTTGCTAGGCTGTCCAGGCTGGGCCCCTGCCTATCTTCAGAAGGGAGAGATCACAGGGCCACCTCCTTTCGTGGGCTCATGAGCTTTCTTAACATCCCCTGCTTATTTTGAGTGGCTGTATGGCATTATTTGTGGAGAAAGAAAAGCCATGCAACTTCTTTTTGTGTGGGCCAAGGTGCTTGGACACACAAAGCAAGGAGCACAAGTATTTCAAATAACACAGCACTCAGAACTCAGATGCAACTTTGCATAGACCCATGCATAACACATAGGGCTCCTCCAGGCTCGCACAGGCAGGGAGCGGCTAGCTGAGAATCTGTGGTCGTGCGCTACGTGCCGCACGCTGTTCCGGACCGCGGCTGAGTCCCGCTGGCCCCGGGCTCCCTGACACCAGGCTCACTTTCCAGCACGCTCCGGCCACATCCAGCCCCGCGGTGATCACGTTCCGGGGACAGGGGCTCGTGGCCCAGCTGCGCGCTGGTTGGTCCTGCCATTGGGCTGCTGATTGGTCGGATGAACCAGCTCACGTGGTCGGGCTCTGATAAGCTGCCTCCCGGCCCCCGGCGGTCAGTCGGCGGGCTGGACCGCAGCTGCATCCGCAAAGTGCTGGGTGTGAAGTTGTGCTGGGTGTGGCTGTCGCGGTTGCCGCTGACTCTCGGCCCAATGAGCTGCACCAGGTACGTTCAGTGCAACTCTGCGCCCTAACGGAGGGGAACCTGCAGCTGCGGGACGTTGGGTTTTTCTGTGGTTTTTTGTCTTCTCTGCAAATGGAGACCCCGGAGGCCTGGAAGGGTGGAATTGAGTTGTATTTCTTAGGGCTTGTTTTATGAGTCAGCACCCCAAAGCAGATACTGCCTTAGTTTGAGTCAGCTGTAGCTGGGATTCCCTTGTTGAAGTGACTCGCCTTTGAGCTCAGAGACCCAAGCACTTGAGGGCAGCTTAGTTTGCACCCTGACATTGCTGGTGAGACTGTGGCAGAAGTTACAGATTTTGCATTTACTCGTTTCTCCCATTTGCCTTATCCTGGCTGGTCATAGAAAATTCAGCCTCAGAGTTTGAGCAAACTATCATTTTAACTTTTGCTGGGGACTTAGGATTCCAAAAGCCCAATTCTAAAAATTTCTATAAATGCAAAAGTGAAGAAACAAATAACAGATCCACAAAACAAAAACAACGAATAACAGCCCAATCGACCAAGCAACCAAGAACATCCCATGAAATTTAGTTGCATCTCCAAGTTGTGATGTAGTAAAAACAATTCTCTCTCCTCGAATCCTGTCTGTTAATGGTTGTCAGACTAATACATTTCGAGCTTTTGTCAGAAAAACTCCTAGGGCTATTAAAGTGATTTCTGTATACATTCTTTACCATCCACTTTGTGATGATGACCATTTGCCAGTGTGATGTGCTTAGTGTGGCTGTGAAGAGAAATTCTTCAAGCCAGACTCTCTGTCTGTCTGTCTATCTGTGCTCAAAAGATGTTAAATACCTGTATAAACTGTTAAAGAATAAGTAAATAAAAATGAAAGTCAAACTGAAAATGGCACCTTCTATATTTCATGTGTCTCTTGTCTATAATGCTGAAATTGGAAAACTCTAATCCCATAAGGCTGGCAACATAGTGTGAGGGCAGGGGAAAGGCCAGAAAAAAAAATCTTGGTGGATGATTCTTGTTTTATATTAACTATTGTTATTGTCTTTCTACTTGTAAACGCCACTTGCTCAAACAGTAGAAAACACCAAAGAAACACAAAATGAGTAGATTGTGTAATTCTGTCCTGCAAAGGTAATTAACATTTTGGTGTTTTTCCCTGTGAAGTTTCTCAGTATTTACAAATTCATATACCTACTATGTATTTTAAAACAGTTCAATTCTCAGATTATCAGTTTTTAAAAACACATTTATACATGTATACAGCAGGTTACAAGACAAATATAATAAAGTATTATTGGACAGAATGAGTAGGTCTGTTTTCTTGGCTGCCAGTTTTTCCATTTATATGTGAACTTGTCATGGGTATCCTTCTATATGAAATGCAGGTTATTTAGAGGTTTGTTTGTTTGTTTGTTTTTAAACCTTTAGTACATGAGATGTTGGCTGGTGTTACAGGTTGATCATTTGTGAAAAATTAGGATGAACTTGATAAAATGCAAAAGTCATTCTGACTTCACACAATAACTGCATGACATTTTAAACATTTCTTTATCTCTTTTCAAGTGGGATTACTTCTCCAGAGAAGTAAAACTGATTTAAGAGCCAAAATAAGAAACATCAGCCAGAAGGAGCAAGAGGGTCTGTCTGGGACTGTGATTATGGAGTTTCCTGTCTGGTCAATAGACTTGAGGAAGCTTTAAGTACATATTTACCTTGTTGGCCCACACATGGAGTAGTGTTCTAAGTCCCAGGAATCTGATTTTTTTCCCTTAAAGGAAAGGAACTTCTTAGGTCATGTTGACCTGACAGGTATAAGAAGCACTGACCCAGAACAGAGCAAATAATCCTCAGAGCTGTGTCAGACATCATCAGATCCAACCCTCTTATCTCTCAGACGGGGGCAGTGAACCACTCTGAGTGTTTCAGGTGCCTTACACATGGTCCAATGGGCTGCCAAGCACCCAGCTAGACTGCAGATCTAATCACTGGCATGCTCTCCTGTCTTCATCTGTTAGCATCTCCCTGATTAACTGTAAGGAGTGCACTTGCATATGAGTAGGGCAAGACAACTCCAGCTCTTGGTGACCACCTCTCTTCCTTTTCCATTCTAGAATGATCCATGTGCTGGATCCACGGCCTTTGACAAGTTCAGTCATGCCAATGGATGTGGCTATGAGGATTTGCTTGGCTCATTCACCACCCCTGAAGAGTTTCCTGGGTCCTTACAACAACTTTCAGCGAAGAAATTTTGTGAACAAATTGAAGCCTTTGAAACCATGTCTCAATGTCAAACAGGAAACAAAATCACAGAACGAATGGAAGCCCCCGAATGACCAAGCCAAGAAGCGGGTCGTGTTTGCCGACTCCAAGGGGTTGTCACTCACTGCAATCCACATCTTCTCTGACCTCCCAGAAGAACCTGCGTGGGACCTGCAGTTCGATCTCTTGGACCTTAACGATATCTCCTCCAGCTTAAAACTTCACGAGGAGAAAAATTTGGTTTTCGATTTCCCCCAGCCTTCATCTGATTACTTAAGTTTCCGGGACCGCTTTCATAAGAACTTGGTCTGCTTAGAGAACTGCTCTTTGCAAGAGCGGACAGTGACTGGGACAGTCAAAGTTAAAAATGTGAGCTTTGAGAAGGAGGTTCGGGTCCGAATCACCTTTGACTCCTGGAAAACCTACACAGATGTGGACTGTGTATACATGAAGAATGTTTATGGCAGCTCAGACAGCGACACCTTCTCCTTTGCCATTGACTTACCCCATGTCATTCCAACTGAGGAGAAAATTGAGTTTTGCATTTCTTACCACACTAATGGGAGGGTCTTCTGGGACAACAACGAGGGTCAGAATTATAGAATTGTCCATGTACAATGGAAACCCGATGGGGTGCAGACACAGATGGCACCCCAAGACTGTGCATTCCAACAGGCGGTGCCTAAGACTGAGTTAGAACCCACTGTCTTTGGCAGTCCGAGGCTTGCTAGTGGCCTCTTCCCAGAGTGGCAGACCTGGGGGAGAATGGATAACTTGGCCTCCTACCGATGAGTTAGATAGCCTATGGACTAGCTTTGTCTGATGACAATCCTCATGCGATTCTAGCTCTGCGTTGCTCAATATTAGGAAGTCTTAGTTACTTTCCATCAGTAGGTTTAGGTATGAGCTCTTGGGGCCTGGCTATAGATAATATAGTGTTGGGGTCCCTGAGGGTGATGCCACCCGGTCTTGTTTTGGAGGATCAAGTAACAGTCTGGGAACTAGTTTTATAACAGTAACACCTTTTTGGGGGTGCAATTTTCCCACTCCCTCTCAGTTCACTAGCTTTCACGTTGGACAAGGAAAGGCTTAAGGACAGTTGATAGTGATGGAACGCTGTGGTAAGGGTGTGAGGAATGTGGAATATATACGCTAAGGGCTCTGAGGCTTGAGTCAGAGGAGGAGCAGGGGGCTGATACTTAAACTGTTGGTGGGAAAACATAAAGTTACCTTGTGTTTCAATGTGGGTTTTACAGGTTTCTCCTGAGGAAATAATTCAACAAGGGGAAAGAGGTCCATTCTGTGCATTGTTGCATAGAAAAATACAGGGTATTGGATGGTACTGGGGGGGAGATGAACTGTTGGTCTGAAGAATCAAGATCTTGAGGGCTAGAGATGTAACTTAGTTGGTAGATGTTTGCTTAGCATGCATGAAGTACCATAAAACTGGAGATGGCAACATGTGCCTCTAATACCATACATTAGGGTAGAGGCAGGAGGATCAGAAATTCAAGGTCATCCTTGGCACCTAGAAAGTTGGAGATCAGCCTGGGCCATATGAGACCCTGTCTTGAGGAGATGACAAGAAGACTCTAAGTGAATCCTTTCCGTTTAAACGTGGTCTATCACAATCCACGTTTTGGGGAGTGTTTAAGCAAATCCAGCTTTGCAGGCTTAACCTGGTAAGTGACTTTGCAGTCAAGGCATCATTCTTGGGTTCTTGGTAGAGAATGCTTCCCGACAAGAGTCATGCTGTCACCAATGGCTAGCAGTATGTAGAGACTCAATGTCATGTCAAAGGTTGACAACTCTTCCAGTGCCTTGATTAAACCAGAACACTGTACTGTTTAAACCGGTTACCTGAATGGCCATCTAATAACTCATGAGCTTTTTTCATTTGGCCTCATTTGAAGGTCCATTCGCTGGCGTTCTCCTAAAATACTGCTGTATTTTCAGGAGTGCTGTCGGTGTACACAACTCACATCCTTCATATTGAAGGTGACTCATCTTTCTGCCACACTTTTTTGATGTGATGTTTGAAGTGGGGACTGTCACCAGGGTCTCAGCTCAAGAATCCAGTACCTCGCACATCCAAGTAGCAGTCTATCTCTCGCCTACTTTTGTCTTGCTGTTTTAGTTTCAAGTGCTTCTTAAAAAAGCAGATGTGAATTATTTTGAATGTGAACAGTTTTGTATGTACGTGAATCCATTATGTGAGATCTTGAAGGCAGGTGTCCCAGGATGTTTGCCATTATTGTGTATGCCCTTTTGGGGGTGTTAGGAGAGTGCAGTGAATTGTAACACATGTGATCTGCCATGCTGTGAAAACACTATTGGAATAACTCCACTCTGACAGCATCTGAGGTTTGGCTAATATTCTTAAGTATCTGCTGTAAATATCTACATTGTCCCTCATGAGCCTCTCACTTTAAAAATAAATTTGCTTGATAGAAGACCTCAGAATGTTTTCTTTCCCCAAACCATAACCAGTCAAACCAGAAGCTTAGTAGCTGAAGTCCGCCTGTTTGGCCTAGCAACGACCAAGCAGAACTGGTTTGGACTGGGAAATGGATCCACCTGCGGATAGTCACATGCTTCAGTCTCATTAGTGACCAAAGGTCCTACCTCCCTGACAGCTGGGGCTTGGATGCAGATGCTGTAGCTTAGCTGCTGTAACTGTCTGTCTCTGTGGTTACTTCTCTCCCATGCTGTCTGCTGGGTCAGGCTTACCTTGGACGCCACCTGTCATTTTTGTAATGGGGAGGGCATGATGTAGGAAGTGTTGGAATAGTTCTTACTTTTTGAGCTCTAGTACCTTCCTAAGGGGCAGAACTTGGAACTGCAGGGAGGACCGTAGGAAGGGCCCATGGGTGTCCGTCTTGGGCTGAAGGGGAAGAACAGCTCTTTAGGTTAGTTAACAGCGTCAAGAACCTCAGCTGCTTTGCCAGTTTTGCCTGAAATTTTTATAAAATTCTTCACACAGTATCTTTTAAAAAGAACTTTCTGATCATTTTTTTCTCACCAAATTCCTCTCAGATTCTCCCCATTCAACTTTATGTTTTATCTCTCCCTTTTAACAACAGAAATACCCCTCCTACACAAAATAGAAATCAAAATAAACAAGCAAAAGACCAATAAGACATAAAGATGTCCAAGCAAAGCAAAATGAGACAAAAAGTCTACAAAAATACCATCAAGTTTGTTTTGCGTTGGCCTAGGATTGGGGCCTCCCCTGAAGTGTGGTTAATATTCCCAGGGACACTTCATTGGAGAAAACCAAGTTTTTCTTTGCCTGTGGATATTAGCTACAAATAGCTTCTTGGTTAGGAGTGGGAGCCTGTGTCTACTCCCCTCTCTCAGTGTTGGGATCCATCTGGCTTGAACCTGTGCAGGTCTTGTGTGTGCCACCACAGTTAGTTCATGTATACATCAGCCCCTTTGTGTCTGGAAGACCTGTTTCCTGGTGTCCTCCATCCCCTCAGGCTCTTACACTCTTTCTGCCTCCTCTTCTGCAGGGTTCCCTGAGCCCCGAGGGAAGGGCTCTGATGGAGACATCTCATTCAGGATGGAGCGTTCCCAAGTGTAGCATTGCACGTTGTCAAGTTGTGGGTCTCTGTTTAGACAGTATCTTAAGTAGAAGGGGTAATCAATGACAAGACAACTAATGATGCTGGAATACAAAGAATAAACTTTTATAGCATAGAGTCCTCTGTCTGTATGGGGGGGGGGCTATAGACTATGTTGACCATGGATGTATTTTATTTGGAATACAGATTTTTGTTTTGTTCTTTTTAACAGTAACTGGCTTTATAGCCCTAGATGGTCTGAAATTATCTATGTAGACCAAACTACACTCGAACTTGAATCACTGTGCCTGCTCCTGCCTCCTGAGTGCTGGGAATACAAGTGTTTGCCAGCACACCAAACATGGATATTTTAAGAAAAATTTATTGTCAAGGCATAAATGAGCAGACTTACATAAAACACAAAAATGCCATGTTTTCCCCTTTAAAAATGGCAAGCTCTGTCCTCCTGGAAACGACTGTGTGGATCTGAATAGCAGCCACCCCCTTTAGATAGGGCATGCTGCCCTTAATAGGGCAAGCATGGAGTGTTTGCCAAAAGCCTCTACCCATGGCTGTATTCCGGTATGCTGTTGGCTGGTCTCCGAAGGCTGTGGTCAGTATTTTGTCCCTTCTGGATCTATTCATGGTAATGATTGTGTGAGGAATCTTCCAAGAGATGGACAAAACTCAAATGGAGGTTTGAAAGCCATGAGTCTCAAATGTAAACTCTATAAAAGAAAGTAAGATTGAGAGACGGGAAATGGCTAGTCCAACCTGTGCCAGGCTGGTCAGTGGCTTTTGGCCTCATGTTCCTTCCTGCTCTTGACATTTGTTGAAGTCTCCCACAAGATCCTACTTTTTAATAGCTGGGGAAGCTGAAAGAAGGAGCTGTTTCTAGGCGAGCATTATTCTGGCAGCTCTTAACTGCCTGTGTCAGCCTTACTTGGTGTTGGCACATTCAAGGGCTGCCTGAGGAAGGATCTAGGCAAAGAGGAGGGTGCTCCTGAGGAATGTAATTGTTCCTGCTTCACATTCTGTTAGGAACCCTGCCTGTTAGGAGAAACAGGGCTGTGGTAAGGGTTACACAGGGGGTAGTTAGATGGCTCAGCAGTCATGAGCTACTCTTGCAGAAGATCTGAGTTCAATTCCTAGCACCCATCTTGGTTGACTCATAACTGCCTGTAACTCCAGCTCCAGGGGATCTGACACTCTCTTCTGGCCTCTGTGATATGCCTTCTCTCTCTCTCTCTCTCTCTCTCTCTCTCTCTCTCTCTCTCTCTCTCTCTCTCTCTCCTCTCTGTGTGTCTTTATCTCTCTCTCACACACACAAATAAAAATCCTTATAAAAAGATTTAACATGAGGAGGGACTGGGGAGTTATCTCAGTTAAAGTGCATGCTGAGCTAGAATGAAGACCTGAGTTCAGGTTCCCATATCCATGAAAACCAAAGATGGTAATTCCAGCGCCGGGGAAGCAGTCAATGAATCCTTGGAGTACCTCAGCCAAATCAGTAAACTCCAAATCAGTTAGAAACTCTGCCTCAAAAAGCAAGGTGGAGAGCAATGGAAGAAAATACCTGATACTGACTTCTGGCTTTCAAATGCGTATGCTCACATATGTATATATACACACATGATATACAGATGCACATACATACACACATACACATGACATACAGACACACATGCACCACGCAGATACATACACACACACCACATAGACACAGACACACGCAGATACAGACACACATCAAACAGACACAACAGACACATACATATGACACCCACATACAGACACACACATATTACACACACACACCACATAGACATCACATAGACACATGCAGACACACACATACACACACACACCACACATACACACATACCACATAGACACACATCATAGATACCCCTCACACACAGACACACACACACACACGAGATTTAACATGGAGGAATGACTTCTTTTAAGCTTGGTAAATGCTTAACTCCCCCAATTTTGAAGAACAAGGTGACTAAAGTAGCTCAGAGGAAACATCTATCATTTGTGTTTGTTTGCTTTTATTTTTGAGACGAGGTTTCATGCAGCCCAGGCATCTTCAAACTCACTGTGCAGCCAAGGATAACATTGAACACCAGATCTTCCTCCTCCCAAATGTTGAGATTGCAGGTATGAACTACCTGCCTACCTCCCTCACATTTTTCTTTTGTGCGTGTGTGTGCCTGTGCACATGAGCATGCGTGTGCGTGTGCATGTGTGTGTGTGTGTGCCTGAGCACATGAGCGTGCGTGTGCCTGTGCACATGAGCGTGCGTGTGTGCGCATGTGCATGTGTGTGTGCCTGTGCACATGAGCGTGCGTGTGCCTGTGCACATGAGTGTGCGTGCGTGTGCATGTGCGTGTGTGTGCCTGTGCACATGAGCGTGCGTGTGCCTGTGCACATGAGCGTGCGTGTGCATGTGCGTGTGTGTGTGTGCCTGTGCACATGAGCGTGCGTGTGGGTGTGCATGTATGTGTGTGTGTTTTCCCCCACAAACAGATGATAAAATGGAGGCTCAGAGATTAAAAATTGCTTGAAATTTAAAAAAGTTCACACTATTCTGTTCTGAAGAAAGAAGTTTAATTAATAAAGGAAGGATGCCATTGCTTTCTAAATTTATGAGTCCTCTTTTACATTGAAAATAGTTTTTTTTCATTGAATATAGTCTGATCAGTTTCTCTTTCTTCATCTCCTCCCAGTTCCCTACTTCCCCACCCATCCAACTCCAAGCCTTCCTTCTCTTTCTTTTTAGAAAAAAACACATCAATAAAAAACAAAATAGAAAAAAAAAACCAGAAAAAGAAAAAGCAAAACAACCAAACAACAGATCAGGGAAATTACATGTAGAGTCAGAGACACATGCCCACACAGAAAAACACACAAAAACAGAAACCATAGCATGTAAGCAAAAGTAAGATCAAACAACAACAATGCCCAGGATAAGATAAAAATTCCCTTATAATACCAGTGAGTTCATTTTGTGTTGGCCATCTATAGCTGGGCATGGGGCCTGCCCTTGGGTGTGGTTTGTATATCCACTCAATGAGACTCCATTGGAGATACTAATTTTTCCTTTGCAAGTGGTTGTAAGCTGTAAACTGGAGGTAGTTTCTTGGTTAGGAATGGAAGATAATGCCCGCCCACTTCCCCTGCTCACTATGGGGTCCCCACTTCTCCCCCCCCCCCACTGTGGGTCCCTGCTGAGCTTGGACTTGTGCAAGCCCCGTGCATTCTGCCACAGTCTCTGTGAGTTCATACATGTGTCAGCCCTGCTGTGTGTGGAAGGCACCGTTCCCTTGATGTTGTCCATCCCTACTGTCTCTTACAGTCTTTCTGTCTTCTCTCCCATGGGACTCTCTGAGACCTGAGGGAAGGGATCTGGAGACATCCACTTAGGATTGAGTGTTCCAAGATCTCACTCTCTTCATCCATTGCAGATGGAAGCTTCTCCGATGATGGCTGAGCAAGACACTGATCCATCTTTTAAATTTATGTCTTACTTTGTCCCTAGGCAAAAACTCTGTAAAATGAGAACAAACCATGTATCTTCCTCAGAGTTCAAAAGTTCTATGAAAATTCAGTTGTAGATGGAAGTTTCTGTCCCACCCGGTCCCGAGGCTGTTTAGTCCCAAATAAACACACAGAGGCTTATATTAATTATAAATGGTTTGGCTGATGGCTTAGGCTTCTTACTGGCTAGCTCTCTCTTAATTATTAATCTATAACTATTAAGCTATGTATTCCCACCTG